GGGGGGGTGCTGCCATGACACCCCCTTGGGTGTACAGGAGGGCTGAGCCTCCTCTCGCCCCCAGGGCAGGGAGGGGTTCCCTCCAGGCTGCACCCCCCGTGGGGGCTGGGGTTCCCCATGGGATGCACTGCATCCCCAGTGGGTGATGGGGTCTATGCTGCACCCCCAGTGGGCAGGCGGCAGGGTTCCCCAGTGGATCGGGCCTACATCCCAGCAAGGACTATCCGAGGCCTGTGCTTGTTCCCAAAGGGCTTGATGTTGGGGTTCCCTCTCAAGCGTCAGGATGTGGGGTGAATCCTGAGCTGGGACATGCCAGCTGTGGGGCGATTTCTCCCCCCGTGTGCTCAGGCTGCGTTCCCTGGGCTGGATGGAGCCCCGTCTCCATGTTTCAGTGCCCCCAGCTAGGGCAGTGTGTGAGACACCCAGGTGGAGCTAAGGAGCAATGGCAGCCCCGTCACCGTCCCCACAGACAAGGACGGCCCTTTGGGGTGCAAAATGGAAGGCATTTCCATTGGGGCATTGTGGTCCCAGGCCCTGCAGATAGAAGGTGCTAATCCTGATTTCTTGCTTCCAGTCTTCAGGGGCAGGGGCTAAGGCATCTGCTCTCTTCATGGACACAGGGACACTGCTGCCACAGTACTCTGGCTCCTTCCCATAACGCAGGCCCACAAGGCCTCCTTGTGCTCTCTGTGAAGCCATGGTTTCACCTCTCCGCACACAGCACCGCAAAGGCAGACCTGGGTCTGGGGAGGTGTTGACAGCCATGGCGATAAATGCAGTCAGACAGGCTGGGGCTGGGTGTAGTCGGAGCTGCACCGTGGGGGCGAGGATCGTGGGCATGGTGCTTGCTCGAGCTGTGCTGTGGCTGTGCGGCTACCTGTGCCTGCAGCTAGCCAGCTGGTAGAAGCCATGAGCTCAGGACCTGGAGTATGCCTCCTTCAAAGCCTCTTCTCTCCCAGCAGTGGGAACCCCTGCATGGCGCTGGCCTTGTGGCCCTGGTGTACAGCTCTAAGTGTTCTCTGGTGCTGGGGGGGGGGAGATGGGGCTGTACCCCAGCTGTAGGTGTCAGTGGTGTCTCATTCCCAGCCCTAACCTCGCAGCTTGTCCCAGGGGCATCCCTCCAGGTGGGCTCTCGAGAACCTCAGTGCGCACACCTGCCCCCCTCTCCTGCCGGAGCACACTACAGTGTTCCTGTGGGCTCTGTCCCTGGCAGGGTTGCCTTCCCTTCGTAGCCCTGCACTGCTGGGCACTCGGCCGACAGCCTCTGGGTCGGCTGTCTGTGTCCGTCGGCAGCCTCTGCTGGGCTGCTTGCAGGTTGGGGTTGGTCAGGTTGTCTTTCTGCAAGTGCACCTGCCTATGTCCAGCCTTGTGCCTGAAACAGTTTCCCTAATCTTCAGATAAGATAAAACACCAGTGAAAACACCGTAAAGACATAAGTGCCTGTAAAGGCTTGTGTGGGAGAGAGAGAGGTGCTGGCTGAATCCAGCCAAAGACAGGAGACCACTGGGCCTGGCCCACATGTGTGGGGCTATTGTGGATGGGTTTGCTGGGCTGGAAATGGCACAGCCAAACTCCCAGGAACTTATTTGCTTTGGTTTCATGAAAACCAGCCTCTCTGGGATCACCTGCAGCTGCCATAGTTGTGTTTCTCTTTCTCTCTTCCTTTTTCTCTAGCTGGTTTCCAGAATGGAGGAGCCACTGTCAATGGAGATGTCTTTCAGGTGAGAGCTCAGTCCCTAGCCCCAGCCCAGTGGTGCCAAGGGGGATTGGGTGGATGTGAGCCAGCACTCTGCTGCTCTGCCCCCAGGATTGACTGGAGTTTGCTATCCAGCTGCAGAACGGCTATGGTGTTCCCGGAAAGGTTTGGGTCTTGGCGGAGAGTCCTGTCTGCTCTGTTCTCACCCCTCCTTGAAGGAGAACATTGGTCCCACCTGCCATGACCTGCCCCAAATCTGTTTGCAGGTGGCCTGTGCCCTGAAGGAGTGCCTGGGCCCCCTCTCTCCAGCCTGGGTAGCTCCTGGAGTCCTCAAGGGCAGTCAGGAGCATCTTTTGGAAGAGGCCAGAGCCAGGACAGGGCTGCCATGCTTTGCTGACTCCACAGCATCTCCTATTAAACCCACTTGCCCCCTGGCCAAGGGTGTTCTGTGGGGGCCACACACACCTGGGTCTCAGCTCCCTCTGGGAGCCTGAAGCCCAGATCTGCTGGCTACAGGAGAAGCTGTGCCAGCATCTGACAAGCCCTTCACCCCACTTGGTGCCCAGCAGTGTGGCATGTGCATTGCCTGTGCCTAGCTTACGGGATGATAATCACATCAGAGACGGGACAGACTTAATTAGATTGGGGATCTTGGATGAAAGCCGTAATCCCATTGCTGAGCTTGGTGTCGGGCTGGGCATCCCAGCCAGCGGAAGGTTTTAGGAGAGGTGCTGAGCCTGGCAGGAGCCATACACGCAGCTCAGCTCAGAGGAACGTGGGAGGCTCTTTCCTGCGGGCTGGTGTCCAGGCAGAGAGTGGTACCTCCTTTAGGCCCTGCCTCTCGCCTCAGCTCTCCCCATCTGTTGTGGCCAAGCCTGTAAAGGTGCTCAGTCCTGGGGGTTCCTTGGCCCAAGTCAGGGCCAGGGAAGCCTCGTGCTGGTGGGGAGACTGTCACAAAGCTGGTGGCTGTCCTCTGCTGCGGGGCTGCCCAGAGGATGCGAGAGCTGTGTTGGCAGTGAGCAGCAAGTCAAGAAGGGGAACACTGGGAAGTTTTTCTGGGTGACAGAGCCTTGGGCTGGGAGCTAGGACAGCAGCTTGAGCAGTGCTTTGGTGACACTGTCCCAGATGTCCCAGGCTGTCACCCTCCCTACCTCCTATCTTGGCTTGTCTGAGTGCCGGGAGCTGCCAGCTCTTCAAGGTGGCTGCTCTGGGCTGTGGGAGGAGCTGGTGCTGATAGTGAGGTGCTCATCTGCTGCAGGAGTCCAACGGCCCCACAGACGCCTACGCAGCCATAGCCAAGGCTGATCGGCTGACCCAGGAACCTGAGAGTATCCGCAAGTGGAGGGAAGAGCAGAAGAAGCGCCTGGAGGAGCTGGGTGAGACCTGAGGCCGTATATGGCCATACTCATGGCACCTTCCTACGTGGCAGTTTGGGGCCCTTTGGTTCCCTCACCTGGTGGTGACCCTGCATCCCAGAGAGGTTTCTTGTGCCCCATGCCACGTGGGTGCCCCTGCCAAAGATCTGCTATCCTTGGGGCAGTGACACCTTTCAGACAGTACTAGTGGGGATTGGGGACAGACCTGGGGGGCTGCAGCTGCCCTGCCTACTGAGAGGGGCTGCCCAGCAGACCCAATGGGTGCCAGTCTGGCTGACGGGGTCTGTCTCACTCTGGCCTTAGATGCGGCATCAAAGGTGACTGAGCAGTAATGGCGTGAGAAGGCCAAGAAGGACCTGGAGGAGTGGAATCTGCGTCAGAATGAGCAGATGGAGAAGAACCGGGCAAACAACAGGTATGTCGGGGTCAGCATGGCCATGAGGGCTGCGACGGGAGCTGCTGTGCAGCCCGATCTGCCTTCCTGGGATGTCTGGGGGCCTCTTTCTCCACAGTGGGGCCCAGCCCTGCAGGGCCAGAGCTTTGCCAGGCAAGGGGAGAGGCCCCAGGGCTTCGAGCAGCTCCGATGGCTGTGCAGAGCCGCCCTGGCTGGGACCACACTGGGATCACTGGGATCTCAGTGCCTTCTGCCCCTTGCGTGGGCCTCACATCGGGGCAGAGTTGGGGCGCTGTCTGTGCAGCCCTGCCATCATGGGCAGGTTTTCCTGGTGTGATGAGTGGGTCATGCTCTGTGGGAGGATGCTAACCCCCTCTCTGTTTCTCTCTTTCTAACCCTCTGCCTGCCTGTCGCTCTGCGCTCTCTCTCTGTCTGTGCCTCGGGGGCTAGGATCGCTGACAAAGCCTTTTACCAGCAGCCGGACGCCGATGTGATTGGCTATGTGTATGTGCCTCTTACAGACCGTATCCTGCCCCACAGGGTCTGGGGGTCCTGGCCCCAGCACGGGCTGCCCAGCCAAGGGGAGGGGGGATGCTGGGAGGTACTGGGCCCTGGTGAGGTCGCAGAGGGAGGACGATGCAGCTGAGAGTCTCCAAATGGTAGTCTTAGGAGGCAAGCGGAGCTCCTGGAAATGCCCCTGTGGGGGCTAGTTGAAGAGGCAAAGCCGTGGGGTCTCGTGCCTTTTGGGGGACAGCTCTGGGGGTGGAGAATTCTTGGGAGCAGGCAGACACCCCAGTTCCCCTGGATGAATGATGTCTTGGGTGAGTGCAGCCTTGAGCATCGTGTGTCTCTGGATCCCAGAGGACGCTAAGCTCATCGGCTGGAGCAAGGGGACAGGAAGCGGGGACATGAGGGGTTCCCAGATAGAGGGGAGGGTCTCCTTGGAAAGGGTTCTGCCAGTGACAACCCTCAATGTCTCTGCAGGGCCTCGGAGGAAGCATTCCTGAAGGAGTCCAAGGAGGAAACTCCGGGCTCCGAGTGGGAGAAGGTGGCCCAGCTCTGTGATTTCAACCCCAAGAGCAGCAAGCAGAGCAAGGATGTCTCGCGGATGCGCTCGGTGCTCATCTCCCTCAAACAGACGCCCCTGTCCCGCTAGCTGCCGCCTGGCACAGCCAGGAGCGCAGCAGGGCAAAGCCAAGGCTCACCAGCGGCGTTGTGGGGCCAGCCTGTCTGTCCCCTGCTCCCTGGTGCGTGCTTCGGCTGCGCTCGAGTCACTGGTTGTAACTCTCCCCATGGTTTTCCTTTGCTTAAAAGGTGCATCAGTCTCTTTTTACACTTATTTATTACTGTGGCATTTCCCGGGAAGCAACACTGAGTGGCAGAGCTGAGTTACGGGGGGAAAGAGCCCCCGGCCTAGGCTCTGCGGGAGGCTGTGCCAGGGGGCCTGGCTCGGTGAGAGGGCGAACACATCACCCGCTGTTCCCCACCTCACCCCTGTGCTGGGAATAAACCTGCCTGTGCCTGTCCTGGCGCTGGGCGAGCCCACGCATGGCAGCCCCATGTCTGGGCTTGGGTTCTATCCCCAAGGCAGCAATCCTAGTGGGACCCCTGGCTCCTGACTGTCTTTCAGGTGAGGTTTAGAGCAGAGCTGGCAGCGGGGCTGGGAGGGTGGAGGAACAGCTCTGACTCAGCTCCGCACCACAAGGTCCTGCGGGAAGCACGGCTGCAGGGACTGAGGAATGCAAGTGCAGGCACTCAGGCTGGGCTGGGACTGCCAGTGGTTACCCCAACCCCAGCAGAACTCTCCCCAGCCTGGCTGTGCACTCCAAAAAGCTGGCAGGGCTCTGAGCAGCAGTTGCGGTGTCTGTGTCCCATCTGTCCAGTGGGACTGGTGGTGCCAGGCAGCATAGTGGTGCAGGGCACTGGGAAGGGGCCATGGAGCGAGTGTGCAGGATGTTTTCTGTCCCTCCCCCAAGGCCACCAGCAGTTGGGCATGTGTGCTGCCAGGCTTTGGGGGCCCGTGGCTCTGCTCCGCTCCTTCCCTGCCACTAGGATGGGAGATGGAGGCTGTGTGCTTGCAGGGAAGCAGCAAGGAAGGTCCAGCTGCTGTGGGGCAGGTTGAGCCCCCAGCTCCCTAATCCAGGCGCCCAGAGCACGATTGGGCAGTTCTGGTGCTGGGGCTTGTGCTGTCCCTGAAGAACAAGCTGCACATCTGTCTGCAGCTGCTCTGTGGCTTCTCTCTGGCTCCCGCTGGATTTGTACACCTAAGGCAGTGTGGCGAGATGCCTCAGTTCCTCTCCCCACCCTGCAAGGCGCATGCTTTCCCACCCAAACACTGGCTTTCTCTCTTTTGCTTGGTGGGGCCAGCACCAGCCCCTCTGGCTTGGAGGCCCAGTCCTTGGAACCTGCAAAATTTCCAGCTAGCAGGAGAGGGGCAGGCCTGCACGCACCCTGCTGTGGGGCAGCCTGGAGCTTGTGCCCTGGATCTGTCCTGCCAGGGGCTTGGGAAGGGCTTGCAGCAGCAGGCTGGGAGAACATGGAGCAAAGCCCACAAAACATTTGGTTGAGCCTCACTCAGCTGATAAAGCAAGTATGCAGAGCTCTCCTGGCCTGCAGCTATGGCTCCAGGAGTTGGGAAAGTCACCTGCCCTGCTGCTGCAACCCTCGTGGGGTGACCGGGCACCCCTGGCTCTGGGGTAGGGGCTCAGCAGTAGGAAGGGAAATGGGTGCTTAGGGATTCACTTGGTGGTGTGTGCTGGGATTGTGCCCCCTTGTCTATAGGGCTGATCACTCCTACTCTGTCCCCCTGCACTCCAGCATGCGTAGGCAGCTCTGCTGCGGCACGGGATAGACACCAGTGCAGGCTACCTCGGGACTCGGCTGCCTGCTTCTGCCTTTCACTGCAGAGCAGCGGGAAGTTCCTCTGGCTGCTTCCTGGGGGTAGGGAGCCCCCCCTGCGCTCTGTCTCTCCAGTCCCCACAGGCAGCCAGGCCCCTGGGTCCCCCAGCTGCCATGCACCCCATGTCAGGCAGGGGCAGCCAGCTCCCGGGGAGCCGTGCCCACAGCTCTGCTACATCCCCTCGGCTTTGGTATCTGTGACTGTTCAAATTACCTGTTAAAATAAACCACATCTCCAATCCTATAGGACACTGTTGTCTTTCTGCTTTAGCAACACACACGTGTGTGCTTAGGAGAACCCACAGCCTCCTACAGAAAGGACAGGGCTGGAGGAGAACCACATCCTACAGAAAAAAACAGGAGGGGGGGGAAGTGGCAGAGGGGTTGCGCTAGGCTGGGACAAAAGGGGTGGG